GACCGAACACTTGACAGAAAGCACCTTAGGGGAGGGAGACCAATGGTGCCTCATGGGTTGTAGTGGCACGGGGCGTCACGGAAAGCATGGTGGTGGGAGCGTGGGGGCTGCCTTGGTGGGTCGGCAGCAGGGAGAGAGAGAGAGAGAGAGAGAGAGAGAGAGAGAGAGAGAGAGAGAGAGAGAGAGAGAGAGAGAGAAAGCTGGCACTCTACTGGTTTCCCCTTACCCAACTTGCTCATTTCGGGAATCCCAGCAGGAGGTATCACTGCCCACACTCAGGGTGTGTCTGCACCCTCTTCAGCATGTCCTCTTTGGAAACGCCCTCACAGACGCATCCGAGGGTTACAATTGAAATGGGTCACCATGGGCCAGCCAGATGTCTCTGGGGATAAAGGCAAATCTACAAGAAGACCCCACTGATCCCAAGGACCCATGAGGTGGGAGGACAGAACCCAATGTATTCAGGCATAATGCTGGCCCGCCCCTGTCACCTGGCAGAATGCACTCAGGCAGTGCCCTGGTCAGCCCAGGGTTCCATGATTGTGTAGTCTGCACGCAGGTGCAAAGGACCCCTTTAAAAGACAGACCCTGTCTGCTTACGCTCTCTTTCTGCTCTTCCTGCTCTCCATGCTCTCTCTTTCCCGCTGTTCCCCTGGGGCAGACAAGACTTTTACCGTCTTCTCTTCTGTCCTCTCTGTCTCTGTGTCTCTTTTTTTATTTAAATTAGAAACAAGGAGCCGGGCGTTGGTGGCGCACGCTTTTAATCCCAGCACTCGGGAGGCAGAGGCAGGCGGATCTCTGTGAGTTCGAGGCCAGCCTGGTCTACAGAGCGAGTTCCGGGACAGCCTCCAAAGCCACAGAGAAACCCTGTCTCTGAAAAAACAAAAAACAAACCAAAACAAAAAATTAGAAACAAGGTGGCTTCACACGTCAATCCCAGCTCCCCCTCCCCCTTTCTCTTTACCTCTTTTCTCTTTCCTTCCCCCACTCCCCTTTCTAATAAAACTTCTCACTAAGCTCTGTCTGCCTGGCATGTCTGTCCCCCGCCTCGGTCACCCTCACCCGCCATGGAATCCGCCACGGTTGCCCCCATGCAAGGTTCCTTCAAGCTTCACCATGGCCTTGACAGTGACAGAGGCTGTCTGAAGAGGCGGTGAGATTTTATCAAGGAACGTAGGTTGCTGTGTGCAGCTTAGTGGTACACTGCTCCTCCAGCTTTCGTAACATCCTGGATTCCATCTCTGGATGAGAGAGTCGCAGGGGGTGGGGGGTAGATCATAAATCTTAGCAGGAAACCAAAGACAGCATAGAAACGAGTGGACGGCAGATGAGGAGATTGGAGGACGGACAAACGTCAGGAACCTGAGGCCTTTGGTGTTGCTTGCAGGTCAGCAAAGAGAAGCCAAGGGCAGTCAGTGCTGAGAGGAATTTTGACCAGGGTCAGCACGCGGAGACAGAGATAAAAAGAGAGTAACGTGTAAAAGAAAAGCGGAGGTTGACCGAGGAAGACTAAGGTGAAATAGTATTGGCTGGAGCTGGAGAAATGGCCAAGAGCTCACACTGCTCTTGTAAGAGGACCAGATTTCCAGCCTCTGCACCCACATCCAGTAGCTTCCAACTGAATGTGACTATAACTCCAGTTCCAGGCGACCTGACGCCCTCTTCTGGCTTCTGCTGGTACCTACACCCACGTGTTCATCTCCCACACATACATACACAAATATACACAGTTCTTAAAGATCTTTTATTTATTCATTCATTCCTTTATTTATTTATTTAGCGAAACGGCGTTTAAATGAGTCCACCAGACCCAAGATAAGTGATAAACAGGTATTTATTAGAGAAGCACTTACACAGATAATAGTAAAGAACCTCCGCGTTCTTCCTGCTCTTGAAGAAGCAGTCTCTGCCCTTCTGATGCTCTGGCTACAACCCAAGAGAGCCAGCCAGCCCCTCCTCTTCCTTATAAGGGGGGGTCTCATCTGCATGCCTGAAGCCACGCCCACAGGGCGTGGCCACCACCGCAAGTTCACTGGCAAAGCAAGATGGCGCTACATTTCCCTTTTGTCTAAATAAGAGAACGTTAAGCCTGATGCAATGATAACAGATAATAAGTACAGTCCAGGAGAAAGAAAGGTAAACACACACACAAACTTAGACCTACAACCAGCAAGAGCAACATTAAGCAAGGAACACATACTAGGGTTGGGGAGATGGCTCAGAGGTTAAGAGCTTTGGCTGCTCTTCCAGAGGTCCTGAGTTCAATTCCCAGCAACCACATGGTGGCTCACGACCATCTATAAAGAGATCTCTGGCCTGCAGAAAGACTTGTAGGCAGAACATTACATACATAATAAATAATATTAAATAAGTATCAAATAAATAAATATTTATAAAAAGAAACACATACTAAATGTCCAGTGCCAGGGTAATGGCATATAACAGAGATTACTCCAATAGTTAGTCTCATACTTAGTATTTTCTGTCTGAGATAAGAGAGGGTATTAACTGTGACTGTCTAGTCTTCAACCTCATCAAAGACCTGAGAAGGACAATAACATCACTAGGGGGAGCAGGAAGGACAATAACATCACTAGGGTGAGCAGGAATTGCAAGCATGTGACTTCCTAAAGGTGCAGGAAAAGACAGAATCAGCAGGCTACTGGACAGTCACCCCAGGTCTCACAGCAACATCAGGGCAGCCAACTTTGACTAAGGCCTGAGTATCTGACAGACCATCTCAGAAGCAGGAAAATTTAGTTACTTTAGCAAGTTTTTCGAGACAGATTTTCTCTGTGTAGCCCTGGCTGTCTTGGAACTCACAGTGTAGACCAGGCTGGCCTCAAACTCACAGAGATCCGCCTGCCTCTGCCTCCTGAGTGCTGGGATTAAAGGTGAGCGCCACCACTACCCAGGATCTGTGTCAAGTTTTTTTTTTTATATTGGCTACAATTTATAGGGTAAAATATCCATTATAGTTATTCCAATAGTAGATGGCTTCAAATGTATGTAAATGAGCAGAAAAAAATGTAACTGCTTTTTGCCACTGTAATATCTCCGTGCCAAGTTACCTAGCTTACTTCGGCTCACGGTTTTGTGGGAACAGTTCCATCACGGTGGGGGAAGATGGGGAGGCTGCTTGATATACCGTGATGGACCAGGAAGCAGGGAGCCCCTGCTGGTACCGGAAGTGGATATCAGCTATTGCCTTCAAAGCCCACCACCAGTGAGCCGCTCCAGCCGGCTAGTCCACAGTCCCGACAGTTGTCTCCAGCCGGCCAGATCAGCACTGCCAGCTGGGGACCAAATGTACAAACACACAAGCCTGTGAGGCTACATTTTGTTCTGTAGCACCTGAGACCTAACAACTGTGTTCAGACTGCGGTCTGGACCCTTCTGCTGGTCTCCCCTGGGGTCACGTAGGCAGCTGTATTCTGCCATTCCCAATCTTTTGCTTACAGTATCTGGACTCTCCTCCGGTGTCCCTCTCTGTGGGATGAGTTTAAACTTCCTGGCAGTATGGTGCTTTTGAGATCTGGGAGGACAGAAACAGGAGTTCCCTCTGCTCTTAGCACGCTCCAAGCTATTCCCACCACATTCTGTTCATTAAAACAAGTCAAAGGCCAGTCAGATATAAAAAAGAGAGCCATGCCGTCTCTTGGCTAAGGAACTCCACGCTCGTGCAGCCAGGGAGATTGGAGCGGTCCTGATGGCAGACAGGACGCTGGGCTGGGGCTCCAGACATCCCACTTAACCTGTCCCAGCCACCCCGTGACATAAGGACCAGAGCACTCTACAGGGGCTCTCGGGAGCTCTCCGTTAGGGATGGCAGCTGTGCTGTGCTCAGATCTGCCTCCGAACCATGTTGCTTGTGTGGAAAATTCCTCCGCAGAAGTAAAGCCAATGGTACACTAAGATCAGAGCCAGGGGCTTGGCATGGTGACGCACGCCTTTAGCCCCAGCATTTGGCAGGTAGAGGCAAGCAGATCTGTGTGAGTTAGAGACCAACCAGGGGGCTGCATAGTGAGTCAATCTCTCTCTCTCTCTCTCTCTCTCTCTCTCTCTCTCTCTCTCTCTCTCTCTCTCTCTCTCTCTCTCTCTCTCTCTCTCTCTCTCTCTCTCTGTGTGTGTGTGTGTGTGTGTGTGTGTGTGTAGTCAGATGTGATGGCACACATGTGTGTACCAAGTATCACAGCATGTGTGAGCCCAAGGCAGAAAGATTATGACTTTAAGGGACCAATAGGAAAGTCATGGCTCAAACACACAAGACAGAGGAGTGGGGTATGATGGCTCATGCCTGCAATTCATGTGACATTTGGAGGCAGGAGGAACAGGACTTCAGGGCTGTCCTTGGCTACGTGAGTTCAAGACCACCCCGTGCTACATAAGAACTTATTTGCAGAGCACTAGAAAAGGGCTGGAGAGATGGATCATTGGTTAAGAGTACTTACCCAGCTGGGTGGTGCTCTCCTTTAATCCCAGCACTCGGGAGGCAGAGGCAGGCGGATCTCTGTGAGTTCGAGGCCAGCATGGTCTACAAGAGCGAGTTCCAGGACAGCCTCCAAAGCCACAGAGAAATCCTGTCTCGAAAAAAACCAAAAAAAAAAAAAAAAAAAAAAAAAAAGAAAGAAAGAAATCCTGTCTTGAAAAACCAAAAAAAAAAAAAAAATAAATGAAATACATAAATAAATAAAATAAGGTTTTTTACATCGGAAAACAGGAAGCTGGTGAAGTAGAAGGAGAGATCGACCCCTAGTCACGCAGGAGAACTGTCCACTGACGTCCACCACGTGATGTGGAAGGCGCGCATGCCCGTGCACACACACCCCCGAGTCGATCAATCATTGTATGCTTACAATAAAGAAAACATACGGACTTTTTGTAAACTAACGGGGAAAGGAGGACAGGAAGGAAAAACAGGAGGGACGGAGATGAAAGCTGCAATGTAGAGATACTAAACGCATGCACTCGGAGACTGAAGGGAGAGACAGAAACCCAACGAGGAAGGAAAACTTGGAGCTGGTAAAAATATCAGAGACTGAGACAGATGGAATCCTGAGCGCCTGAGCGCTCTCTCCCGTAGCCCGGAAGCGCCTCCAGGGCGGGACTGACTGTTTTGTTGGTTGCAACATGCCCTGCTCTTAGACCAACCTCAGTCATTCAGTAGCTGTTCAATCTATAAGGACAAGAAAAATTTTGCTACGGAGCTGCAGAGTGCCTGCAGTTCTCCAAGTTGCCACTAGATGGGAGTCTTCCAAGCCTGAAGCCTCCATGAACCAGGTCGCGGAGCCGGCTTTGCGTGGTGCGGCCACTGGCCTAGGACCTTCAGGATGTCTTTCCTGGGGCTCAGCCTGCCAGTGCCAGCACATGCCCCGGGCAGCAAGTGACCTTTCCGCCTGAGACACCCTTTTCTCCACTTCCCTCCAGCACCAGCCAGTTAAACAACCCTTTGTCCTCGGCCCCTTCCGGCTGGGCCCTGAGGCTCCTGGTTCTCTTCCAGGCCCGGAGAGAAGCTTGGGACTAAGGTGGGGCCCCTGGGAAAAGGCCAGGGAAATGTCCTGGGGCCTTCGAATCTTCCAGTCTTCCTGGAGAGAACTGTGGGATCCAGTGCCCCTTCCCGCCTTGAACCCGGAGCCCACCCCCCAGGAACCAGACCCCAGCCCTCCGCCTTAGGCCCAGAGGTTCGGGCCCCAGCCTCCTCCCTTAGATTGAGGGTCTAGGGTCGGCGTTCTGCACCCTCCAACCCTGATCCCCTCTCATCCTTTCCCGAAGACCCCGGCTCCCTCTGCATCCCGACCAGGGTTCCAGGATTGAGCCCAAGGCTGAGTCACAGGAAGCCCGAGTCACTCCCACCGCTCGGCTCAGCCCCTCCCAGGGCTGGAGAGCCAGAAAATGAGGGCGGCTCATAGCTTCAGTGCAGGGATTGGTGTCCGTCTACAGGACCGTCAGTCAAAGGTGCCCACGGAGGCATCGCCCACATCCAGCCTTCCTTCCAGGTATCTCTTTATTTTCAGTATGTGTGGAGACAAATTTCTGCCTTAATGCCCATGTCTGGATGTCAGATTCTGCTTTTTCTTCACCGCTGTGTGTCTTCTCTAGCTCTTTAATTCGGTTGTGTTTTGTTTTTGTTGTGCTAAATATAGGGTTTAGGGCCTTATGTGATAGTGCGCTCTCACCAAGCCACGCCCCCAGCCCCTCACTGGGGAATTCTAGGCAGAGGCTCTAACACTGAGCCACACCCCAGCCCCTCACTGGGGGATTCTAGGCAGGGGTTCTACCACTGAGCCACACCCCAGCCCCTCACTGGGGGATTCTAGGCAGGGGCTCTATCACTGAGCCACACCCCAGCCCCTCACTGGGGGATTCTGGGCAGGGGCTCTACCACTGAGCCATGCCCCAGCCCTTTGCCTTTGTCTCCAAAACCTCTGTGTGGTTTAGTTTCTGTTTTGTACTTGGTTTTTTTTTTTTTTTTTTGGTGTTTTTGAGACAGGATGTCACTCTACATCCCAGATTAGACTCAAGTTCTTCATTGGCATGCCTCAGGTTCTAGATTTCTGGACTTATAGATGTTTGATACCACACCTGATTCCTGGATCCTCTGTGATGCCTCCCTCCCTCCCTCCCTCCCTCCCTCCATGTTTGTCTCTCTGTGTACATTTCTCAGAAGTCCCTGAACTGGGGCCCGGTATCTGCGCAGCTGGAGTGACTGCAGCTGTTCTTAGCTCTGGACTCATGAGTGGTGCCCGTCCCGTACACGGCTATCAGCCCCTCCGTGGAGCTAAGACGGAAGCAGAGGCGACCCGCTGCCCACGTGGTGCAAAGTGCGGAAGGGAGGGATGGGGGAGAGGAGCTGCAGAGGGGGCTGGAGAGGGAGGGGCAGAAAGATGGAGAGACGCGGGTCCCAGAGACAGAGAGAATGCGGCTGAAGAGAGCCACGACAGCAAAAGACGGTGACCGCAGAGGAGGCAAACGGGAGAGGAGGAGACAGCGAAACCGCAAAGCAGGGACGACAGACACAGACGCGCAACACACGCAAAGATGAAGAGGCTGAAAGAGGCAGAGACGGAGACAGAGGACCAGAGAGAAGTGGAAGCAGAAGAACATCAGAGCCCTGGGCATGTACCAAAAGATGGAGGCTAGCAGAGAAGCCACGGGAGAGAAACACAAAGACTAGAAAGATGAGGGAGTCAAGGCAGGGCTGGGGGCGTGGCTCCGTGGTAGAGGCCCTGCCTAGAATCCCCCAGTGAGGGGCTGGGGGTGTGGCTCAGTGGTAGAGCCCCTGCCTAGAATCCCCCAGTGAGGGGCCCAGTATAGCCCAGTGGTGAGCACAAGCCTAGCCCACAGACTATCCTGAGTTCCAGTCCCCAACACCAAAAAATGAAAGAAAAACGTGAAGGCTTAGAGTGAGGGAGACCCTGAGAAAGGGGTCGTGTGCAAGGCCCAGAGAGTTCCTGGGCAGGAGGAGGAAGCAGAGGGATGGTGCCAGGCTCCAGGCAGCGAGCAGACAGGGATGCTGGGCTCGCAGCATGGAGTGCCCGACTGCAGCATCCTCTCCGAGTCGACACACGTGTGGTGTCCGGGTGTGCCTGGGTGTGTCTCCACCCTTCTCCAGCCATGTGTCACGGAGTGGGATCGTCGTATGTGCCGCCGGGTGGAGCACCCCCATGGGGTGTGTTTTTGTCACTGGGCGTGTCTGTGTGTGTGTGGTTGGTAGTCTCTGGGCGTGTCTGTGTGGGCTGCACTGGTGTGGTGCCAGACATGTCTATCCCTGGGCATCTCATTTCCCTGTGGCTGGCGGGTCCATAGTCCTGGATGCCGCAGGACTCGGGGAGGCAAGGAGCTGCGTCTGAGCGCTTATCTGAGAGCAGGGACAATGAGGTGAGACACCGTGCCCCGGCATCACTCTGTGCCCTGCCTTGGTGTCCCCGTGAGTTCTGCGTGCCCGCGTGCAGGGGAACAGTAAAGGTCCCAGAACAATGCATGTAGAGCCGTGTGTCTGTTTTCCTCACTGTGCGAATCTCTGTCCCACACAACACCCCATTTCCAGGGTCACATTCACCATGTGCCTTTGTTTTGCCGCTGGTGAGGTGCGTGTGTGCATGCGTGCCCGTGTGTGTGCGTGCACATGTGTGTGTGCGCGTGAGTGAGTCTGTGTACGTGTATTCTGTGTTAGAATAGAGTGCAGGGTGTGCGTGTCTCTGTGTGAATGAATGTGTGAGTATGTGTGTGTATTCTGTTTTGGAATGGAGTGTGCAGAGTGTGTGTGAGTGTGTGTGTGAATGTGTGTGTGAGTGTGTGTGTATTCTGTGTTGGAGTAAAGATAACTGTGCTGGGTTTTGTGTGTGTGAGTGTGTGTGAGTGTGGGTGGGTGTGTGAGTGTGTGTGTGAGTGTGGGTGGGTGTGTGAGTGTGTGTGAGTGTGGGTGGGTGTGTGAGTGTGTGTGTGAGTGTGAGTGGGTGTGCATGGTGTCTGTGGAGATCAGAGGTTGATGCCAGGTATCTTCTTCAATTGTTGTTCACCTTCTGTTTGTTTACGGTGTGTGCGTGTGCACGGTGCCTGTGAGGAGGTCAGAGGATCTGTTCTCCTCTTCCACCATGCGGGTTCTGGGAATTGAACCCAGATCATCAGGGTTGGCAGTTGGTGCCCTTAAGCCCCATGAGCCAGCTCAGTAGCCCTGAATGTGTGTGTGTGTGTGTGTGTGTGTGTGTGTGTGCAGTGCCAGGGGAGGTCAGAAGAGGGCGCTAAAGTCACTGAACCTACAGGCTCCTGCGAGCCACCCAATGAAGATGCTGGAAACTGAACCGGGGTCCTCTGCGAGAGCTGCGTGGGCTAAGCCATCTCTCCAGCCCCTGCACAGGACTCTTCACAATCGTGCTGGGGATTCGAACTCAGATCCTCACACTTGTGCACAAACACTTTACCTACCGGTCGTCTCCCCAGGCCCATCTATTGGTTTTGTGCGTGTTACACCGCGTCTCACTCAGCGAAAGGACCTTGTGTCTCATATCAGGATGCGTGTCCACGCTAAGGGCCTCTCTGTCTTGCCTCTGCTGCGTTGTGTGTGTGTGGCCACACATGTCGGCGCACAATGTGTACAGGTATCGTGTGCGGCTTTGGGTCGATGGAATGATAATCTGGACGTCAGCATTCAGGTGGGTCCAAATCCAGTCCCCCGCTCCCAAGGCTATCATCCTGGGCCGTGTCTTGTGTGCTTAGAATGTTCTAGAACGTCCACTGCTTGCACACTTCCGTTGGCACTGTTTGCCGACTGCAGGCTTGAGTCGTGTTGTGTGCTGGGGCGTGTGCGGTGTCAGGCGCACGGGGTAGGTGTCGGGAGTGTGAGCCCCACACATCCACGCACGCTGCTGTGTGTGCGTGTCCAGCTCTCCTGGCACCGGCTGACAGCGTCTGCACCCCCAGATGTTTACACGTATTGGGTGTAACCCCGTACGCCGTGCCTGGTGCCTTTCACGAATTGCTGTGCCCACAGCTGCTGTGTGTCCGTGTAGCTCTTGGTGCGTGTTTTTGTGCGGTGCTTAACTCTTTGTATCATAAAATGCGATGGGGTTTTACTTGGTTTTGGAGACTGGGATCCTATGTAGCTCAGACTGACCTTGAACTCATCCATAGCTGCGGAGGACCTGGGACCGCTCACCCCTCTGCTGCCTCAGGCTCCCTAACACCCAATTGCAGGCACGAGCCACCATGCACTTTATGCCGTGCTGGGGATTAGAACTCAGAGCCTCTGCGTGTCCCATGGGCATTCTGCTGGCTACACACATCCCTGGCTCCATTTCAAAATTATTATTTACGTTTTTTTTTTCAATTTATACACGTGTGCATTTCTATGTGAATGAATGCCACATGTGTGTGGGTGCCCGCAGAAGCCGGAAAAGGGTGTCAGGTCCCCCTGGAGTTGAAGTTACAGGTGGTTGTAAGTTGCCCAGGAGATGCTGGGAACAGAAGTTACACTTTTCAGAGTTGCACTGGTTCTTAACTGCTGTGCTGTCTCTCCGGCCCCTCCCCCAGCCCCACTCGGAGTGGTGTGTGTGACTACAACCTTTGGGTGGCCCCGTGTGCCGCGAGATGCCGCTGCTCCCCTAAGTGCTGGCGTGTGTCACCCCGTGTGTGTGTGTGTGTGTGTGTGTGTGCTGGGTGTGGCTGTGGGTTTCTGAACTTTCGGGACTTGTGAGTCACTTCTGTGGAGGTCGTGCGGTGTGTCCTGGTGTGTTGGGCTCCGTCTCCGGTCTGTCGTGGGGTGCCCTGTGGTGTCTGGGTGTGGTGGATTGTAGGTGTGTACCACGGAGTGCAAACGGCTGGAGAATCGCAGGCCATTGTGTGTGTCAGAGTGCGTCTTTGCCCACGTGGATGGACTCTTCTTCCTTGCCTGGGGCCACAAGACACACCCCAGCCCCTCCTTAGTCTCAGGAGGGGATGGGATGGGTAGCCTCCCCCTACCCAGGGACCTCCCCGTCCCTCCCAGCCCTGCCCCGCTGCAGTTACCACTCCCCAGAGGGCACAGGGCTAGGCTGTGCCTTCCAGCAAAAGTCCCAGAGTGAGCAGAACGGGCCTCCAGCCTGGAAGCCAAGCTGGCTGCCATTTGCGTTCTGAGAGGTGGGGGACCCTGGGCAGGAAGCTGGCTGAGCCCCAAGACCTCAGGGGCCATGGGCGGGGAGCTGTTAACTGGCTTGGGGGCCCTACGGCGGAGAAAGCGCCTGCTGGAGCAGGAGAAGAGGGTGGCCGGCTGGGCGCTGGCGCTGGCGGGAACTGGCATCGGACTCATGGTACTGCACGCCGAGATGCTGTGGTTCCTGGGATGCCAGGTGAGGGGAGCCCTTCCACAGTGCAGGGAAGGGGGCGGGAGCCCTGGGCGTGGGGGGGGGACAGCCAGGGGCTCACACCTCTGGGTGTGAGAAAGGAGGGCTGGTCTTACAGCCCTGGGTCTAGGTCTTTTACTTCTTAAGGTGGGAGGGAGGAGGGCTGAGGTCTGGACTCCCCTGGATCTGAGGAAGCTAGGGTTTGGACCCCTGGGCATGGGGGAGGAGAGCTGGGGGTTAAAACCTCTGGGTGTGAGAATGGGGGGCTGGTCTTTCAGTCCTGGGTCTACAGGAGGAGGCTCTCGGTCTTACACTTCTTAAGGTCTGAGGGAGGAGGGCTGGGGTCTTGCAATCCTGGTCTGAGGCAGGAGGTCTGGACCCCCAGACCAGAGCTAGTATGATACCCCCCCACGCCCTCCCCCAGCCCTCCCCATACGGAAGGGAGCCGGCTCCCTGCATCAGTCTTCAGGTGTTATCAGGCCACTGGGTGGTCCGGGCCTTGTTGAGGCCCGTGCAAGGCTGACCCTTGATAGCCCAGTTCTGGTGAAGGGAGGGGGAGGAGACGGTGTTATTAGGCGGTGTCTCCCGCTCCTTATCTAGCCTTTACTGTTTACCCAGGGCCACCAGACTGTGTCCCCAGGGTTAACCGACAAAGGGGGGAGGTGGGACCTCAACCCCACCCCACCCCACCCCACCACACAGAAGCTTGCATTCCCCCAGAATGCACCTGCCATTCACTTGCCAGTGGATTACGGTGGTTTGAATTCCTAGTTGCTGGGGAACAGGAGGCTGGGGGTCGAGACTCAAGAGTGAGAGCCGCCTTGCCAGGCATGGCGGTGGGACCCCGACCCCGGGGACACGGAGAGGATCAGAAGGTTAAAGCCAGCCTGGTCCAGCAACCTACTGAGGTGGAGGCCAACCTGGGCTGCACACAAGACCTTATCTCAAAGAAGCAAAAAAAAAACAATTAAAATTAAAAACAAAACACCCAGAGAACGGGACGACACGGGGGATGGGGAGAACGCATTGGTGAGAGCCATCAGTCAATCTGTGGCGGGCCGGGGAGCACAGGCGGGCCTGGGACAGGCCTCAGCAAGCCCTGGGGTAGTCCGACCTTGGTCAGGCATGCGGCATAAGAGAGATGGAGGGTAAGGGTTGAGTCTGCGGCTTGAGGAGGAAACACTTGTTCAGCAGGAAAGTTGAGGCGGGGGCTGTGGATGTGGCCTGCCCCTGGGGAGTTCCCTGGGAGAGCTTCTGGCCCGGGCTCAGCCTGTATCTCCTGTATCTGAGGATTGGGGGTAGCGGCTCTAAGGGACGGGCAGCCACATGGAGGGTCAGGGCAGGCCAGCTTCCTTCAGCCAAGCGGCCAAGGAGAGGGCAGTCACTTCGAGGGGGTGGGGCTGCCGAGAGCCATGCCAACAGGAAACATGGCTGGGGCCTGCCGGGCGCTCCCACGCTCCAGCACCGCACCCAGCACCCAGCATGGGAGGTGGGGACCTGGGAGTCCTGGCAGACGGGAAGAAACGGGGGGGGGATCTTTCCTTCCCCAAGAGACCTGCCCTCCCTCATCCTTTCCATCTCCTCATCACCTGCCCAGCCCAGGCCCTTTCCTCCAATGGTGGTACCTTGAGGGAATCGGGGTGTAACCCTCTGATCCCTCAGTTTCCCCATCTGTTCATTAGCATCTTTTTAAGAATGCGTTTTTATTTTTGTTTTATGGGCATCTTAGAGTTGCAGGCCGTTGTGAGCTGCCATACGGGTGCTGGGAATTGAACCCGGGTCCTCTGGAAGAGCAGCCAGGGCTCTTAACCACTGAGCCATCCATGACCATCTGTGCAAATTTGTGGCCACAAGCATCCGCCCTGTTCTTCCTACTCTGTTTGTGACAGCTGTGAGCTATGCTCCTGACCAATGGCCGCCTCGTGACATTCCTGTCTCCTCCATCTCAAGCCAACAAGCTTATTTTGACAGAATGGAGACACCTGCTCCTCAGGAGGAGGGCCAGGTGCCAAGTCTTGGGGAGGAAGGGACAGAGAGCTCTTTGGATGAGGTGGAGAGGACGGGATGCACAGAGACGCCGAGAGAGAGAGGCACAGACGGAAAACTGAACAGAGACAGTCCACATTGTAAGGGACAGAGATGGACCCCAGAGCCGCAGAGAAACCCCAGCTCGAGAGACGCACACCAGAGGGATACAGGGCAGCCATACAAAAGCCAGGTGTCACGGTGCACGACTTTAATCCCAGTGCTCGGGAGGCAGAGGCAGGCGGATCTCTGTGAGTTCCAGGCCAGCCTGGTCTCTGCAACGAGTTCCAAAAGCTACATAGTGAAACCCCTGTCTGGGGGGGGGGACAAAAAAACAAAAGAAATGCCCGACAGAGACAACCCTACCACCAGGGCCAGGCGGTAGCTCAGTCGGTAGAGCACATGCTTACACAAACTCTTGGGTTCGATTCCCATCCCTGGGCAAATGGAGTGTGATAATACATGCCTCGGGGCTGGATATTTTTCTAGGCATCACATGTATACACAAACGAGGAACTGCTTTTCATAGGGAAAGGGAGAGAGTGTGACTTTCGAGACACCCCTGCTCCCTGTGTCTGTCTGCTTGGGGACTAGATCCGTTTCCCTTGAGGCACTTGGGTGACATAGGGGTGATATAGGAGCAGAAGGATGAGGAGTTTGAAGTCACCCTAAGCTAAGTAGCGAGGGCAACACCCGTCAGTGTGGCTCCAGGAGACCCTGCCACAAAACAAAATAAAACACTGAATACTCAGAGGGAAGGAAGTCCAGGTGTGTGGAAACACAGGTGGGGCATCGGAGCAGCATATCACGGGGGGAAGTGGCTGGTGCCTTCGGGACGGGGCCCAGACAGACTGAAAAACTGCTTGGGGAGCCTGGGAAGGATGAGGGGGGAGGGGAAGGCTTGACAACAGCGCCATTGTTCAGGCCGGGTGGGGGAGGCCCCCAAGGGCAGGAAACTGGCCCTGGTCCCCTGCTCAGAGGCAGGGTGCTGGCCCGGGCCCAGTCGGGGCTGGGGAGAGACAGGTGCAGGATGAGGGAGTGAACCAGGGAACCCCTGCCCTGGGGAGGCGCCGTCCCCCTGTGGGCATCACCGGCTTCGGTACCTCAGCAAGCCTCATCCCGGGCTCTCTAAATCCTTCCTCCCTGGACCTCGATCCCTCCAAGGCTTTGCCACACAAAGAGAGGAAGAAAAAAAGCTTCTGGTGGTTTAGGCAGGCCCTGAGCTTCCGTCCCGGTTCCCCCAACCCCGCCCCCGCATGTGTGTGCGCCCTGGGCTTACAGCCAGGGGAGGTGGGGGGAAAGGGGGAGGGGGACTCAAAGAGCAGGGTTGGGGGCCCCTGTGGGAGCTGGGGTTGGGGAGGTCTCAGGGATTCGTTCCCCAGACGAGTACAGGGTGTCACTTCGCTGTAGGACACTGAGTGACAATCTAGCCTCTTCTGGAATTCGGGTTTGGGGCCCGAGCCCCGCTGCTCGCTGGGGAGGGAAGGGGCGTTCTCCGGGGGGGCTGGATGTCTTATTCTAGACGTCACGTGTGTGCGCAAATGAGGAACTACTTTTCATAGGGAAAGGGAAAGAATGTGAGTTTCACCACCACCACCCCGGGGGTGGGGTCGTGGAGACTGAGTTGACACACGGCCGTCTGGTTGGGGACAGGTTGAGGCAGGGTTTTGCTACATGAACCCAGGCTGACACAACACCAGATGCCCTCCGTCCTCAGTCTCCCGAGGGCCGGGGTCATAAGCGCAACCACGACACTAGACTCAAGAATGCTTTTGAGACGTCCTGTTAGGAAGAACTGGTTCGGGGGTCGGAACCTTAGGAGCAGAGAGAGGTGGCCTTTCTGAAGGAGGGCAGTGGGGACGGTGGGCGGGCGGGGGCTCGGGCTCACTGTCCTTCTCCTCCCCGCAGTGGGTGCTGTACCTGCTCCTGGTTAAGTGTTTGATCACCCTGTCCACCGTCTTCCTCCTTTGCCTTATCGTGGTCTTCCACTCCAAGGAGGTCCAGGTAAGCCGGGTCCCGCCGCTCAGTGTCCCCAAGCGTCCTCCCACCCTGGACGCATGTGTCTACACCCGTGCCCGCTGGATGGGGTGAAGCGCAGGCAGATTCTGCCGGGGCGTCTGATCCGTGCCTCAACTATAGCCCCCATGCTTCTTGCTCATGCAAGGATGGTGACAGCGCCTGCCCTTCCAGCTCCCACGCCCCAAAACCCTTGCTTTTGTTTCCTTTATTATTGAAGTCAGGACCTTGTACATGTTGACAAATAAGCCACGCCCCCAGCCCCTCACTGGGGGATTCTAGGCAGGGGCTCTATCACTGAGCCACGCCCCCAGCCCCTCACTGGGGGATTCTAGCCAGGGGCTCTACCCACTAAGTTACATTTCTAACTTCTCTACAACTGTAATAATAGTGAGTACTTACATTTTTAACTTGTTTATTCACGGGGCACACATGTGAAAGTCAGAAGATAATGTCTGGGAGTCAGTTCTCTCCTTCTACCATGTGGGTTTTGGGACTCGAACTCAGGTCATCGGGTTTGGAGGTAAAGGTGTTGGCTCACTGAGCCTTCACACAAGCCCAAAGAATGTGTGCTTTTAACCAAGTGCCTCCCTGGGTGTGGCCATACATGGCCGAGAGTCATTGTTTTATGTGGGAGTGGGGCGACAGGATCTGGGGAGATGGAAATGGGAATTCATCTCAGAGAGACCAGAGCTCAAGGATGGCCAGGAAGAATCACTGAGTCTGAAGGGAAAAATTGCACAGAAGTGGGGTGATGCGTTAGGTGACTTGGGAGTGCAATAGATGGGGACACAGAATATAGGGCAGAGACATGGGGGCGTGACTCAGCAGGAGAGCACTACCTAGAATCCCTCAGTGAGGGGCTGGGGGCGTGGCTCAGTGGTAGAGCCCCTGCCTAGAATCCCCCAGTGAGGGGCTGGGGGCATGGCTCAGTGGTAGAGCCCCTGCCTAGAATCCCCCAGTGAGGAGATCAGGGTGTGGCTCAGTGGTAGAGCCCTTCATGCTCTGGGCCCACTGTTCAATTGCCCTGTTGTGGGACCCTGGCCTCAGTTTCCGGATTTGTAAATTGGAAGTGCTAATGCCTGAATCTCACCCTGTTTGAGCATTGATTGAGTCTCCTGTACAGAGGGCAAAGCAATCCTGGACCATGCAAAATGCTGTATAAACGGAACTAGGCAGCACCCTCCTGTCGTCCCAGCTCTTGGGAGTCAGAGGCAGGAGGAACACGAATTTGAGCCCAGCCTTGGCTATAAACTATGCGCGGGCGTGCGTGCGTGCGTGCGTGCGTGTGTGTGTGTGTGTGTGTGTGTGTGTGTGTGGTGTGGATGGATGTGTACATGCCACAGTGTCCATGTGGAAATTATAGCACAACTGTATGGAGTCAGTTCTCTCCTACAACAGTGGGTCCCGATGGAACTCAGGAAGTCAGGCTTGGTGGCAAATGCCCTATTCACCGAGCCATCCACTGGCCCTGACTATTATTTCTGCCAGTGGCATTACTCCCGAGCCATAAGTGGGGAGAGCCCCGGGGGCGGGAGCGTAAGCCCTGGGAGGTAGGTGGTTCTGTCTTGTTCACTACAAATCGTGGGGTTTAAAACTTGTCAGTGCACACAGCAGGCACTCAATTGGTGTACGAGGGGGAGTACCTTCCCGGAAGTGAGCCAGAACTAGCCAGGAGAGTTTGAGTGGAGAAGAGGTGGCTTGCTGGGCTCCCCCTGCCTGCCCTCCCCCCACCCGCTCCTCCCCTCGGCTCTTCGCGCAGTTATCTCTATCCTTTCCAGGCCCAGGGCGTCCCCCACGTCTTATCTCGGGGCGCAGGCCGGGCGTGCCACCGTCTGCCCGGTACCTGACCCTCTCTCCCCGTGTCTGCCCCTTCCCGGCAGCTGTTCATGACCGACAACGGGCTCCGGGACTGGCGGGTGGCGCTGACCCGGCGGCAGGTGGCGCAGATCCTGTTGGAGCTGCTGGTGTGCGGGGTGCACCCGGTGCCCCTGCGGAGCCCACACTGCACCCGGGCGGGAGAGGCCACCGAAGCGCAGCCTTGGCCGAGCTTCCTGGGCGAGGGCGAGGCGCTGCTGTCCCTGGCCATGCTGCTGCGCCTCTACCTAGTGCCCCGTGCGGTGCTGCTGCGCAGCGGCGTCCTGCTCAACGCCTCCTACCGCAGCATCGGAGCGCTCAACCAAGTCCGCTTCCGCCACTGGTTCGTGGCCAAGCTCTACATGAACACGCACCCGGGTCGCCTGCTGCTGGGCCTCACCCTCGGCCTCTGGCTCACCACGGCTTGGGTGCTGTCTGTGGCTGAGAGGTGAGGGGCCTGGAGCACAGGGAGGGGAGGGAGGACTTCAGGGCCTGCTGGCTACGGTGGCACAGGATGCAAGGCTGCGGGCGGGCGAGCCAACATCAGCAGGGCAGGCTCACACTTTCCATCGTTCTTGGCTGGGAAATCCCACGCCCTCGCCCTCAATAGGTCGTTCCTAACCAATCCTCTGGGCCACCTACAAGACACACACACACACAGAGCCCCTAAGCAACCCCACCCTCTGGCTCCCAAACTGAGTTCAGAGCCTTGTGGAAAAAAAAACAACTTTTCCAAATTAGCAGGTACAGTAAGCCGTGACTGCACGGCGGACATTTGGAACCACTTTGCAGAGGAATTCCCTGCAGTCCCTGGCTGTCGCTTAGCGACTGTAAACAGATGGGGGGCTGCGACTGGATCCCCACAGATCCTCAACTGCCTCCTTTACAGAGAAACCCAGCCTGTGGCGCGAGAGCCTTGCGGGCAAAGGCAGGCTTCTCAACCTAACAAATCCAAGCCTTTGGAGCCCAGGCTGGCCCCAACTCTCCGCCCTCAGCCTTCCAAACGCTGGGGTGACAAGGGCCGCTGTGCCCTGCCCCAGATATAAGTCTTTTCTTGCCTTTGTTTTTAAAGATTTATTTATTTATTTATTGTATATACAGTGTTCTTCCTCCATGGCAGAGGAGGGCATCGGATGGATGTGAGCCACCATGTGGTTGCTGGGAATTGAACTCAGGACCTCTGGAAAAGCAGTCAGTGCTCTTAACCTCTGAGCCATCTCTCCTGCCTGCCTTTTTTTTTTTTTTTTTTTTTTTTTTGTTAAGAGAGGTCAGACATAAACTGTGTGTCAGTTGAAGGCCAGCCTGGTCTACAGAGCGAGTTCCGGGATAGCCAGGGCTTTTACACAGAAGAAACCCTGTCTCAAAAAAACAAACAAACAAACAAAAAAGAGAGCGAGGCCATCAGGATCATTTTGATCCTGATCTATTACTTGAAGGCCGTGCAGCGTCTTGGTGGATGTCAGATAAAGGCATTGCTTCCTCTGGATAGAGCCTGACGGGTGAACCTCGGGCTGTGTCTTCATGCTTAGGCCCTCATCCGCACACACTGCATCGGGCAGCCCTGGGTGCCTAGCTGAGCCCAAACGGGCTGTGGCACAGCCGTTCTTGACTTCTCTAACACTCCGCCCTCTAACACAGCTCCTCCTGTTGTGGTGATCCCCAGCCATAGCTTTTTTTTTTTTTTTGGTTTTGCGAGACAGGGCTTCTCTGTGGCTTTGGAGGCTGTCCTGGAACTCACTTTGTAGACCAGGCTGGCCTCGAACTCACAGAGATCCGCCTGCCTCTGCCTCCCGAGTGCAGGGATTAAAGGCGTGCGCCACCACCGCCCGGCCAGCCATAACATTTTTATTGCTATTCCGTAGCTGTAGCATGGCTACCGGTATGTGCCGTCACGTAAATGTCTGCTGTGCAGAATTATCTGGTCATTCGGCCCTCCCAAGGGGTCTCGACCCACACAGGGGTCATGAACCACCGCTCTAGAACTAGATTTGGATTGTGGCCCTGGATATCTACTGGCAACCCAGGTGGTTGAGCATCTGAGCTAGGTCACACGGCGGCGGCAGACAAAAGGCCAGCATCTCTCGCTTTCATCCAGATGCCTCTTTGGATTAAGAGTGGGGAGGTGAGGGAGGGTGGATTAGGGGTGTGTAAACCACGCCGGCACCCCCAGGCTGGGGTCTCAGAACTAAGTTCTCTTTGCCCATAGGCAGGCCGTCAATGCCACGGGACACCTCACAGACACCCTGTGGCTGATACCCATCACATTCCTGACCATTGGCTATGGGGACGTGGTACCCGGCACCATATGGGGCAAGATCGTCTGCCTATGCACCGGAGTCATGGTGAGTGCCGGCCCCCCCCCCCCGACCCTCACCCTGCCCCCTGCCTAACCCCGTGGCTCAGGAAACCATGAGCCAACATGACATCCGTGGAAAACGAGTGGGTGTCTGGACACCCCCACAGCCTCGTTCTTTACTCAAAACCTGGACCATTTTGTTTTCTTCTCCCTCCTCCTCCTCTCCCTCCCCTACTTCCCCTCCTCCTCTAAGTTAGGTTTTGCTAAGTTTCCCAGGCTAGCCTCAACCTCCCTACATACGCCCTGCTGGCCTCCAACCCTCAATCCTCCTGCCTCAGCCTTCAGCACGCTGGATACTACAAACGGCCCGTTTTTTTTTCTCTTTGAGACCATTACTCCTTTAGACCTTCCTAGAATCCAGATTTCATTTCCTCAGACCCAGGCTCCAATTTCCCAGCCCTATTTTCTTCCCGAGTCAAGGGATCCAGTCTCCTGTCCTCCCCCAGGGTAGAGTCATCATCCGGAGTATGTTTTTGAGAACCAGGCTTGGTAGATTCAAACCCCACTTTGTCTTTTGTCTATCTGGGAGCTCAAACAAACCGCATGATGCGTCTGGGCCTCAGTGTCCCTGTCTGTAAAGTGGGTGGGTGCCAGTCCCAGCGTCCTCCCTGCGGGGTTGCTGAGAAGGTAAATGAGAACATCGTGTCAAGGGTTCAAACACGGGAAATACCCAATAAGTGCCGCACTGAGAGGAGCAGGGGGTGATTTGACAGTTGCTGTAACTGATCCTACACATCTGTTCTGACCCCAGCTCCTGGGCCCTCCATGAGGAAGTGGGGGTTGGGGGACGGTTGCTTTAACGGATCCCTGGCATTTGGCTGGCCCCGCCCTGGCTTCAGAGCCCACCAGGCAGCCGCAGAAGCTCCCCAGGCGTTTCCTCTCTCCTGCCACAGACCCTCCCCCACCCCGTTCCTCTTGGGGTCCAGCTCCAAGTGCCTTGGTGTAGGCTTTCCCACAGGGGGCCTAAGCTGCCAGCTCCCTGCTCTGATGCTGCCCGGGGCATGTTAAGTCCCTAAGCCCTGAGCCTATGGTGACCACCGGTGTGGCAGGCAAGTGTGACACCCACACAGTAGTGAGTCTTTGGGTCAGAGGTAAAAGCCAGACGGGTCGGGAGCCTCAGGGCTGCGTCTTCTGACAGAAAGAAAAACTGAAGCTATGTGAAATGAGAAAACTAGACGCTACTGTTTTAAAATTATACTTAGTGGTTTATTTGGGAGGGTTTGCCTGCCGAGGCTTTCGTGTCCAGGTCAAAGGATTACTTTCGGGGTAAGGTTCTTCTCTCTTTCCACCATGAGGGTTCTGGGGTTCGAACTCAGATCGTTAGGCTTCGGCAAGTGCCTTGTACCCCCTGAGCCATCTGGACGGCTCTCTTTTGTGGGCTTTTCGTTTTTTGGAAGGCGTGGACAAGGGGCTCGTGTAGCCCAGGCTGGCCTCAAAGCTGCCATGGAACAGAGGGTGATCCTCCTGCCTCAGCACAGTGCCCTCCTCCCCCGGTACTGGGTCTACAGGTGTGTGTCACAGAGCTTGGCTCTGTAGCAGACTGCTCCTCTGTCAGCCTCTGCTCTGACACTTTGCAGGTGGCAGCTGGCAGCATTTACACAGACACTAGGGAGGACATATTTGTTCCCTAAACAGGCAGACCTCTCCTCTTCAAATTAGCCGTCTAAGGAGAGAGGCATTCGAGCCGTGGGGAGGTGACGAGTGGGTTATGCCTGTGATCCCAAAATCACAGAGGCAGAGGCCGGAGGATTGATGCAGGTTTGGGGGCAGCCTGGGCTACATAGAGTGACTCTGGTCACACCCCTCAAACAGTCAGGGCTGGGAATTTGGCTTGTCCAGCATGCATGGAGACCTGGGTCAGGTCCCCAGTATGGTATGAACTAGGCACGGCCAGGAGTGCTCGCAATTGCAGCACTTTGGAGTCGGAGGCAGGAGGATCAGAGGTTGGCCGCCATCATCCTTGGCTACATTCAAGGCCAGCCTGAATGGCAGCGGTCGCGCCCGCCCTCTGCGGCCCTGAAATGACTGGGGGGAGCTGGTGACATACAGCTGACCCGAAGAGTGCCACAGCCTCACAAGCCTTGCTTGGTGTGCTCACAGGGGGTCTGTTGCACAGCCCTGCTTGTGGCTGTGGTGGCCCGGAAGCTGGAGTTTAACAAGGCGGAGAAACACGTGCACAACTTCATGATGGACATCCATTACGCCAAAGAGGTGAGGCTGGGGACTGGACACCCAGGCTGGGGCTGTAGCTCAGTGGTTAGGACACTTGCCTAGGGTGCGTGGGACCCTGGGCTCAACTCCCAGCAAGCACCATATAAATGCCTGGTGGTGTAAGGCCTGTAATCCCAGCATCCAGAGGTTGGAGGCAGGAGGATGAGGAGCTCAAGGTCATCCTCAGCTGCAGAGTGAGTTCAAGGACAACTGGGCTACATGAGACCCTGTTTTAAAAAAAAAAAGCCAATTCCCCTTAAAGCTAGTCACGGTGGGTGTTTCATGCCAGTGACCCCAGGAGGATTAGGCAGTAGAATTGAGGCCAACATGGGCTACGTAGCAAGACCCTAAGGAAAAAATCCAGTCCCTCTACTGTAAGCCAGGTCTTTGAGGTTCTCAGGGACCCCTGTCCCCTGACACTGTGTCCCCCACAGATGAAGGAGTCGGCTGCGCGCCTCCTGCAGGAAGCCTGGATGTATTACAAACACACGCGCAGGAAGGACTCCCGAGCCGCTCGGAGGCATCAGCGCAAGTTGCTGGCTGCCATCTGCACGTGAGGGTCTCTCTGTGTCCCTGTCACCTCCCTGCATGGCTCTGTGTGCATGCCTGTCCACCGAGACCTGACTTCCCCTCGGCGTCGGTGGCCCTGGAGTCCCAGATTCGATCCTTTCTGCTCTGCTCCCCTCGCCCCTACTCCAGTGCAGGGTTAGAACTGAGCCCGCCTCCCCACAGGTTCCGCCAGGTACGGCTCAAACACAGGAAGCTCCGGGAACAAGTGAATTCCATGGTGGACATCTCCAAGGTACCGACCACTGGGGTCTTGGGAGGAGGTCGGGGAGGGGGCGGGGTGACTGAGGATGGAGGGCAAGGAAATGAAGCTGTAAAGAAAGACTCTCAGACCCAGCCATGGTAGCATAGGCCTGTAGTCCCAACACTGTGGAGGTGGCTACATCGTGAGTTCAAGACCAGCCTGGGCTACCTGAGACCCTGTCTCAAAAAAGCAAAAAAAAAAAAAAAAAAAAAAAGCAAAAAAAAAGCCAAGTGGTGGTGTCACACACCCTTAATTCCAGCACTTGGGAGGAAGAAGCAAGCGGATCTCTGAGTTTAAGGCCAGCCTGGTCCACAAAGCAAGTTCCAGGACAGCCAGATGTTGAAAAGCCAAAACATAAAATAAATGAAAGAGGGAACCACTGCAGGGGGCTGGACACACAGGAGTGAGGTAGAGGCTATGGAATGAACCTGCATACATGTAAGACACTGTCCCCCTTTAGACTTTACGGTAAAAGCACGCACCGAGCTTCAGTGTTTGGTTTCTAATTATCTTTATTACCTACATGTGGACGGATGTAAATCCCCCTCCAGGTGCAATTCTTACACAAACAAAACCAGGCAAATATACAAAGCAGCTCAAACACTGACCCAACTTAAGGGGAAAAAAATTAACGGAGGCTGTGACAGGCGATGGCGTTGTTTTAAAGAAAACCAGTCCCTGAGCTGTTGTAAAGCCGGAGCCCGAGTGCAGACGGGCCCCGGGCCGCTAACGCTCAGCCCCCTTGGCTTCCCCGGCGATGGTGGCCTGGCTCAGGCGGCTCTTTCCTTATGCGGTGGCCTGAGCCTTTTGTCATTAGCCCAGCACTGCTCAAACAGACACCCTTGGCACCAAGGCCATGGTAAACATAGTCGAAGACGCAGGTCCCCAAACTGCATGACACGTCAGAGAGGACAGAGTGGCTTGGGTCAGCCGGAATGGATGGGCCGAGAGCTTCCGCAGCACGCTCGGCAGGTGGGGGGCGAGCGCTTGCCCGGATGTAAACCAGGCAGGGTGTGTACCCCCAGCGCTGGGAGGCAGAGGCAGGAGGATCGGAAATCCACAGTAATTAGGTCTGAAGAGCCAGCTCGGCAGCTAAGAGCACTTCCCGCTCTTGCAGACGGCCCGGGTTGGGTTCCCAGCTCCCACGTGGCTGCACCCCTTTGTCTGTTAACTCCAATAACACTGTAAATTAAATCCCAGCCCGGAATACGTGAGACTCTGCCTCCCCCACAACCACCACCAAAAAAAAAACCAAAAAGGCTCACAGACCCCCCCAAAAGATCTCGAGGATCCCCTCCAGAGTGAGTCGGTCTGGGTCTGGAAGCCAGGCATCAACAATCCCACAAATAATTAAATGAGCACAAATTCAAGTGAATTTGAATGTGCACACGCTCATTTCTGACTTCTGGTGACGTCTCCATGCTGTTCTCTGCTATTACCATGGGAACAGGGTTTCCATCCCCTGAGGCATGAAAGCCTTAGCATCGCAGGCTGACCTCGGACTAACTCCTGTAGCCAGGGATGACCTTGAACCCAAGACCTTGCCCCCTCTGCCTGTGCTCTTACTGAGCGCTGGGACTGCAGATACGAATCACCAATCACCGCCACGCTGGCTAGAGCTGCGCCGGGGGTCACACCCACAGCTCCGGGGGTGCTGAGTAAGCGCTCTGCCACCTGAGCCGCTTAGGACGGGTCCTCCAGGGCTTGTCCGTGCTCGCCCTCACTCCCGTGCTCCCCCCAGATGCACATGATCCTGTGCGACCTGCAGCTGGGTCTCAGCACCTCCCACCGGGCCCTGGAGAAGAGAATCGACGGGCTGGCGGGGAAGCTGGACGCCCTGACAGAGCTGCTCGGCACCGCCCTGCAGCAGCAGCCGCCACTGCCAGAACCCAGCCAGGAAGCCACGTAGCTGGTGAGGGGGGCGGGGGGGGGCAGGGACCGGGCGGGAAAGATACTGAGGAAGAAACAGGCACCTGTGGGCAGTGCCCAGGGTGACTGACGCCCGTGCATAAGGTCACCCTGTCTCTTACGCTGTGTCACCTCTTAGGGCTTTGAGTTCAGAGCTGGACTGGCAAAAGAAGGGACCGCTCCATTTGTGCTCGCTAGGCTCGTTTATCTCTGCCTTTTGTGGGGGGAGCGGGGAGTGGAACCCAGGGAACCTAGGCAGGAGCTCTACCACTGAGCCACACCCCAGCCCCTCACTGGGGGATTCTAGGCAGGGGCTCTACCACTGAGCCACACCCCAGCCCCTCACCTCTGGTGTCCTCGCCCCTGTGCCTTCTAACCTGCCACCCATCTTCCACCCCCTCTGTCTCCAGGACCCACGGGAGAAGGAACCGGGCAATGCACCCCAAGGACTGAGCTCAAGGAATCCTCCCTGCCACTTCTGACCTAGCCCCATGAATAAAGCGCCTCAAGATGCCAGGGCCGACGTGCGTCCGCGTTGACATGCGTGGACTCTCCGGTGGCGGCGGCCACGAGGGGACACTGGCTTGGACCTCCAACCGCAGTGGCATCAGGGCCACCACACACACACACACACACACACACAGACACACATGCACGCGCACACACAGACACAGACACATGCGCGCACACACACGCACAGACACATGCGCGCGCGCACACACACGCACAGACACACACAGAGACACACAGACACACGCACACACGCACGCGTGCACACACACGCACAGACACACACACACACCCTCGGCAGAAGTCCTTTCGCTGTGCTGCTGCTGCTGCTCACGAACTCTCAAGCTCTGCCAGAGGTGGAGGTGACCCGGGCCAGACTCCGGGCTCCCGGGGCGGGGGCAGAGGCAACAGGGAGCCTGGGGCCCAGGATGCTGGGACGCTTCAGTTAACCGCGGGCCGGCCTCGCTGGAGGGACCAGGTCCGAGGGGCGGGAGCCGGTGCCCCCTGGTGGACGCCACGGAAGACGCGGCTTTCCCGGAACGCAGAGGTGGATGTCTGCGGGGAAGGGGGGCGGGGGCCACGCGCCCGTCCACGGTCACACTTTGTAATAAATGGCGAATAGAACCAGACTCCGCCGTCTCTCCCCAAATACCGAAGTCCTTCGGACCGCGCCCCGGAAGGCACTCGCCCGGTCCCAAGCTCAGTTTCTCCATCTGCGGACAAAGCCGGAGCAGGGCTCACCGAATGTTCTTAGCACTCAGGAGGCTGGGCCCCCAGTCAGGCGGCGCACGCCTGCGATCCCAGCACTCGGGAGGCAGAGGCAGAAGGATCTCTGTGAGTTCGAGGCCAGCCCGGTCTAGAGGTACATACTGAAACCCGTTCTGAGAGTGGGGGGAGGGGGGAGGACAGCAAGGCAGGAAGGAAATAAACATAGAGACAGCTGGCCACACCTATAACCCCAACACTTGTGAGGTGGAGGCAGGGTTAGGAGTTCAAGGCCAGCCTCAGCTACCTGAGATCTTGTCTCAAAAACAACAACAAAATGGGCTGGCGAGATGGGTCCGTAGGTAACGGAGCTTGCTGCCACGCCTGGCAACCTGAGTTCAATCCCCAGGACCAACCGGAGAGGAGAGACCCGACTCCCACGGTTATCCTCTGACATTCGAGCATAGTGGCACGTCCCACCTGCTAGCCACACATAATGGAAAACAAACAAAAGTGCCAGCCAGGCCTCCTGAAGTGCCCACCTCCAGCTTAATAAACCCGGTGGTTGTCACGGACACCCGGCCCGGATCTGAGGCCAGAGCAAGGAGTTCGAATTCAGGCAGATGGACATCAAGACTAATTCTGCCTGCCACTTGCTGTGTGACCTAGGACAAGCGGCTTTGCTTCTCTGGACATTTTTTTTTACCACCTGTGAAATGTTGTGTCTCCAAGGAACTGCTGGGATGGTTTAAGGAAACACAGTGCCATAGTGGGCTGGGCGAGCGTCTGGTATTGTTCCGAGAGGGAGGAGTTGTTTTCACCACCGTTAATAATTTTCACACATGGTGTGTGGCTTGCCTGGTCCTTGCTGACTTCCCCTGTTCATTCATGCCTGCCCGGGTCCTGACGCCAAGTCACACACTGAGGGATCAGCAGGCGCCCACACTGCTGCACAGTAGTTTCACAACCGCTCACGTGGAGCTGGCTGGGTCTCAGGAAAATGGAGGAGCTCGTGCTGACAGAGCACCTACTGTGCGCCTGGGTTTTGAGCCCGGCTCCCTGTGTGTGCGCGTGCGTGTGTGAGTGTGTGTGTGCGTGTGCATGAGTGCCTGTGTGTGTGTGTGTGTGTGTGTGTGTGTGTGTGTGTGTGACCTTTCTCTTTTTCTGAGGCAGGGTCTCACTATGTAGCTCTGGCTGTCCTGGAACTCACTCTGTAGACCATGCTGGCCTTGAACTCAGAGATCAGCCTGCTTCTTGGGGGGTGGGAGAGCAGGATTTGTCACTGGCATGGAACATGCTGCACCGATTCACGGCTGGAGAGCGCCAGGCATCAGCCCATGTCTGCCTTCCCAGGCACCGCCGCGTCTGGCTGTTGTCACACGGGTTCTGGGATCCAAGCCTCAAGCTTGCACTGTGCCAACCACACCGTCTCCTAGCTCCGCTGTTTTATTCGAGGTGGGGTCTTACGTGCCTCGGCCTCCCGAGTGCTGAGATTACAGTCTCGGGCCTGCTCTGACTAGTGCCCTATTGTTTTGTTTAGAAAGGACAAGCACATTTGTGTGTCGTGTGCGTGTTGTATGTGTGTGTACACCACAGGCACATGCAGGGGGCGGGGGACAACTTGCAAGAATGGGATCTTCCCCTGCACTATGTGAGTCCCAGGCTTGGGGACAACATTTAGCCCCTGAGGCCTCTTGACATCCCAGCCGCTTTGCTCTCTGTAAGCCCTAAACCTCCACCCTCACCCAAACCTCAACTTCCCCATTACACAGATCCAGAAACTGAGTTTGCACAGCACACGGGCCTGATCCAAGGTCCCGAGCCAGGAAGCCACACATCCGGCTGCAGGGCCCAGCCGTCCTGTCCCCTGGCTGGTCTGCCCGCGTGCCCTGCCCTGTGTGAGTCAGAGCGAGCCCAGTGGCCTTGGGATCCAGGCCTGCATTCCTGCTACCCAGGCTGATTCATCCTGGCTTGGAAGGGGAAAGCCCAGGCTACGAGTCATTCTGGCTGAGCTATCTTTGGACTTCCCTCCAAGGCCTCTGCTCGTCTCAGCCCTGGGCTAAATTGGAGAGTCTACCACCCACTGCCTCCGCTGCCCTTCCTCGGCATGCCAGCCCACCTGGTGGCCAAGAAGACATTCCAGAAAGAGGCTGGAGGGGTTCCAAAAATGTCAGCCTCCTGCAAGAGGCCCTTAGGCCTAGGGCCATATCCCGTTAACTCGCTCCTTCGGGATCACTGTTCCTCTTAAGATTCCCTTCAGCTGGGAAACTCCTGCCTACTCCTCCTTTGGGCCTGGGCTCAGATGTTCCTTCCTCCAGGAAGCCCTCCAGGAAGCCCTTTCTAGCAACATATCCTGTCATCATAATATTGATCGGGCCAAGCCCCAGGTTAAACTCTGTAAAACCTCACCAGTGCAAGGGAAAGGGGACCTGAGTTTTCCCCATGACTTAGCTGAGTCACAGAAGGATAGATAATAAATCCGCACAGGCTGGAGTTGTAGCTCAGTGGGAGAGTACTAGGTTAGCATGTGCCAGGCCCTGAGTTCAAATCTTTACACTAGAAAAAAAAACAGAAAAAGTCAAAGAAACCTATCCAAAACCATAGCAAAGAGACAGGGGAAGCCAAAGTTGGGGTGCACACACCTCTAGTCTCAGAACTTAGACGGCTGACGAAGGAGCATCACGAGTTCACGGCCAGCCTGGGCCACAGAGTGAGATTCTGTCTCTTAATAGTTAAAAGAGGAGTCCTGCACCCCACTACCCAGCCAAGAGGCCCCTCACCACCATTAGATTATATTTTAGCATCGTTGGCTCTCCCTGCTCTGTTTCTGGAACTCTAACTAGGGAGATGGAAGAAGCGACACTCCCTCTCCTCTCCCCCGCCCCCTCCCACCCCGTCAACGATAAACTACGGAACAAGTCCATCAAGGTCCGACTGGGAATCAGTGAGTTCCCTGGGCTTATTCCGGAGCCCGAATGGGGGCTTATTGCAGGAGCATGGGTGACCCAAAAGCAGCCATGCCCCTTGGGAGTCTCGACCCAGGCATGATGGCTTCCCACAGCTCCACAGATGGAGTGTCCCTTCAGCTAGCCCCCTCCAGTCTAAGTATCCCCGCACCTCGGGAGGCCACGAGGCTACGTGCAGTTAGGGCAAAATTACATACAACTGCCCGGGAGGTGCAGCAGGGGGGAGACTAGAGCCTCGGGTGAGGGTCCCATGCCCAACCCACTCCTCCTTCTATAATGGGAGCAATCTCCAGAGCCTGCAGGTCCTCACGCTGATCTGATGAAGACTGCGGTCGATATGGTTGGAGTCTAGCTAGCTCCCTACGGCATCTTCAGTGCCAACGGTCCCAGCACACGAGGGGCCTCGGTAAATGTCCCCAAGGAAAGACGTTTTCTATGTCTGGGTAGCCAGAGGTGCCCTGCCTTCGGAGAAATCAGATTTGGAGGTAGGGATGGCACTTGCCTAGCATGCACCAAGTCCTGGGTTCCATGCACAGCAACACACACAGATGCTCTCACACACACATACACACATGTACCCAGCATGCATGCACACACACGCACAAACACACACATGCGTGTACACACACAGTGCATGCACACATACATACACACATGCGCTCATGCACAGACACGCGTGCACATACACACCTCTACACACACGTGTGCACACACACACACCACACACACACTTTTTCAATGGTTTCCACCGAAACAAATGGAGAAACGCAGGGGGCTTTTGGCTGACCCCGGGAGCCCCCACAAGAAGTTCCACGTCCTGGGGTATCTTGGCTCTGTCCCTATCCTCAGTGGGACTCAGAGCCTGACTCTCTTCTTCCCCTAGCCGTACATTCCCCTTCGCTAAATCAGCGCTTCCTAAAAGCCCTGCACCAGACGGGAGCTGAGCTGGAGACGCTGAGTCAGAGGGCGCTGGCCTCCAGGGGCGCAGTCTGATGAGTTGGGCTACTTCCCTCTCCTATTTCTGCTCTCTCTGCCCTCCCATGAGGATACGTGGAGTAACAGGGCTCGGAGAGGAGTCAGAGGGGCCAGAGGCCAGCCTCCTCCTTAATGTGTACCACACTCCTTATTGCCCTGAGGACCTTCCTACCATCCAGCCTGATTGCGTCCTTCCCTGTTCAAAACCTACAGTGGCTTCCACCGTCTTTCAGTTAAGGGCTAGCTGCACAGCCTGACACAGACAATCACCCCCCCTCTCCTTCTCTCCCCCACTCATTCATTACTTTGCACTGCTGGGGATTGAACCCACGACCTTACTGCACTGCACAGAGTGCTACTGTTCTATCTCCACCCTCACCGTTGGATTCAATTTCAGGCAATATTCTACCACTGAGCCACGCCCCCAGCCCCTCGCTGGGGAATTCTAGGCAGGGGCTCTAACACTGAGCCACGCCCCCAGCCCCTCGCTGGGGGATTCTAGGCAGGGGCTCTACCGCTGAGCCACACCCCCAGCCCCTTACTGGGGGATTCTAGACTGAAACACAACCCATCCCCTCTTTTAATGATTTTACTTTGAAATAGTGCCTCACTAAGTAGCCCAGGCTAGCCTACAACTCACTTTGTAGCTCAGGCAGTCCTTTGACGTTTGAGGCCTCCCTAGTAACTGAGCTCACAGGCCTGCACTTCCAGGCCCAAGCAAGGCTTTTAAACTCTCCAGTCTAACTCTATTCTGAAAACCTCTCGAAGTCAAAGTAGCGTTCTGTGAGGAGACGGTTGTCAGAACTTGCTTGTCTGTCCTTCCTTGGGAGAAGTGAAACTTTGTTGAGAGATTACACAAAGAGCACAGCCTGCCATCCCAGCCCTCGAACGGCTTCAAAGCCACAGAGATTAGCCTGCCTCTGCCTAACCCTGACATCATTAAAGCGTGCGCCGCCATGCCTGCACAGAGTTTAAAACAAAGA